GCCGTCGGGGGGCTCCGCTCACGGTCCGCCCGGGCGCGCGCAGCCGGAGCTACCAAATCTGCAGCTCAGTTTTTCAAAAACCACCTCGTGATGTGCACACCCTGGAGCCGCCATCCCCGCCCTGGTGCGAGCTCTTCGCTCCCCAGCCCCGGCCCCTCTTCCAGGTTCTTTTCGAGTCTCCCCCGGGCCTCCGCAGACGCCGGCTCCAGCCAGGGGCCCGTCTCCCCGCTGTCGCCCCAACTTCTGCAGCCCAGGAGCTGCTCCCGGACGACGGCGCCTGGACCGCGCCGAGAGTGGGGCTGTGTTTTGTCAACTAGGCAACACCAGACACGCGGACGAGTCCAGAAAATTATACTGATGACACCCACGGCCCCCACTCAAGAGTAAACATAAAACGTTTTGCTTCATTTACTTGGTACTTATTAAAGAAATATAAAATTAGACCTAACTAGAGCCCTACCCTTATTTCTCCTTCCTCCCAATCACTGGGCTCAAGTGGGTGCGTATCATTCCTACTCATGTTTTTATAGTTTTATTATGTATGATGTATGGATCTGCCAACTGTATAGAATACCAATTTTTGTTTTTCAGGTTTACGAAAACGACGTCATGCTGAATAATCTTTTGCAACTTTTCTCATTTCCTGTTATGTTTTGGAGATTCATCTGTATGTATGATTAACTACTATGTAGTATTTCATTGTTTTTCATGTGTCTCATAGTGTCTCATAGCATATAGCTGGATTTTTAAATTTTAATATGAGAGTATATCTCTATTAGCTAGAGTTAAGCTTGTTTTATTAATTATAATTGGATTAATTCTCATTGTCATTGAATTCTTCTGTTGTATTTTGGGGTATTTTTCACACTTTTTTTTATATTTTATTTTCTGCATACCTGTTATATCCTCTGGGTTCAGTTTCAGAGAACAGAATTCATTCTAGATAGTTTAAGTACAAAAGGATTTATTATAGGGTCTAAAATGGCTAAAGGGCTTCTCTGGAGGGCAGAAGAAGCAGATTCTAGGCTGAACCTTCAGGAGTGACTTTGAGAGGCATGCGGCCGAACCAGGCCACCAAAAGAGCCACTGCCCCTTCTGAAATCTGGAAGCCACTTCTTGAACGGGAAAGTTGTGGCTGCACTTGCCAGCTCATGAACTGGATGGCTAGTGTCATGATAAGAAGCCACCACAGAGAAATCAGACACATCCACAGCAGTCCTCACCCACAGGAATAGCACACCCCCAGGCTCTGCTTCTCTTCCACCTTACAAATCAAATAAGAGAAAATGTGATTGGAAGAGCCAAAATTGCATCCAGAATCCCAGCTTCTGAAATACAGGAAGGCCCAGGAGGACACAGGAATGGGTAATGAGCTAACTCCACCATATTCATCCAGCGACTCACCAGTGCATTTATCTACCATGCCTGCATTTTATTGCATTGAATGACTGGTTTTTATTTCCACATTTCCCCGATCTGATTTGGAAGATATTCATTCCATTTCTATTCTTATTATGGTTAGCCTGATCATTCTCAATTTTTTAATCAAATAAATACATGCGAAGTATTTAACAATAGTTTTACAAGGCCTATGATTTGGAAGATATTCAGTCCATTTCTGTTCTTATTATAGTTAGCCTGATCATTTTCAATTTTTTAATCAAATAAATACGTGCAAATTGTCAATAGTTTTACAAGGCCTATAATTTTATTTTTTTTAAAGATTTTACTTATTTATTTGACAGAGAGAGAGACAGGGAACACAAACAGGGGGAGTGGGAGAGGGAGAAGCAGGCTTCCCACTGAGCAGGGAGGCTGATGCGGGGCTCAATCCCAGGATCTTGGGATCATGACCTGAGCCGAAGACAGACGAAGGCAGACGCTTAACGACTGAGCCACCCAGGCGCCCCAAAGCCTATAATTTTAAAAAGAAGTAATTCCCATTTCCCTCTATAAATAAGCTTGTCCTGCTGTTTTGTGATTTTTTTTTTCAGTTTTAGATATTGACTATTCATTTTCTATGATGGAAAAGGACGCTCTGGCTATTTTGTATCCTCAACAAAAGTATGATCTTCCCTGCTCCCATTCTTTCAGTGTGGTTATATGATAATTTTTGGTAAGTCAGTAGTAAGTGCTTACATAGCATACTATAGTTCCATTTTTCTACAGTTGCGGGGGTGGGAGGAGTTAATTACTGCCTCTGATTTTTATTTGCTTACATTTCTCTCAACCCATTACAAATCCTTCCTCCAGCTCTCCAACAGAATAGTGGAAGACATGGCTGAGTCTATGAATGGAGCACTTGGACTTCTTGCTCCACCCGGACCGGTCGCTCTGTGGGGCCGACTGCTGCCCCCACCATCATCCTGAGGGTCCCTTCATCCCCCGTCCTCTAACCTGCTTCCTGCATCCCCCGTTGTGCTCGCACTTCATGTACTCCTTCACTGTAGTGGAGAACAGTCCCCACTAGTTTCCTGAGAAAAAAAAGAGTACATAAAACATAAAACCCATGCAACTGTGTGTGTGTGTGTGTGTGTGTGTGTGTGTTTATTTTACGCTCATATTTGATTGATAGTCTGGCTAAGAATAGTCTTCTTCATTGGAAATCCTGTTCACTTAGATCTGTGAACACATTGCTTCACTGTTTTCTCACTTCTCACATTGCTATTGAGAAGGCCATTCACATTCTCTTTCCTTTGTGGGTGACCCGGTTTTTGAGGGCCCTTATTGTTTATTTTTATTTTGTCACCCTCGTTCTCTGAAGGCTTAATGTTCTGATGTTTTACAATGATATGCCTTGGTATGGGGTTTTTGTTGTTGTCCACTGTCTGGGCAGTGATATGTGTCTACAAACTGGACACTTGTGTCCTTCAGTTCTGAAAAATTATCTCTTTTTTTTTTTAAGATTTATTTATTTTAGAGAGAGAGCACCTGCTTATGAGCAAGGGGAGGGGCAGAGGGAGAGAGAATCCTCAAGCAGACTCCCCGCTGAGTGTGGAGCCCGACCCGGGGTTCCATCCCAGGACCCTGAGGTCATGACCTGAGCTGAAATCCAGAGTCAGCCACTTAACCACCCAGGCACCCCCAAAATCATCTTATTTTTGGATAATTTTCTTCTCATTTACTTTGCTCTTTCTGGAAAATCTCTCAGTTAATAGATCTTCTAAATTGTTCTTCTTAAAAAAATGCTCTTCTAATTTTCATATATTTTCTCTTCTATTTTCTATTTCTTTTTCTTTTTTTGTTGCTCTGTTTCCTGATAAATTTTCTCAACTTTATCCTTTGACCCTGCTAATTGAACTTTTATTTCTGCTATATTTTTAACTTCTAAGAGCTTTTTCCTGGTTTCTGAATGTTCCTTTTTTTTTTTTTAAGATTTTATATTTATTTGAGAGAAGAGAGAGAGAGAATGATTGGGGGTGGGTGGAGGGGCAGAGGGGGAGGGAGAAGAAGACTCCCTGCTGAGCAGGGAGCCCGACCCGAGACTCAATCCCAGGACCCTGGGATCATGACCTGAGCTGAAGGCAGACACTTAACAAATGAGCCACCCAGGTGCCCCTGAATACTTCTTTTTTATTTATTTTTTTTAAAGATTTTATTTATTTATTTGACAGAGAGAAAGACAGCAAGAGAGGGAACACAAGCAGGGGGAGTGGGAGAGGGAGAAGCAGGCTCCCTGCCGAGCAGGGAGCCCGATGCGGGGCTCGATTCCAGAACCCCGGGATCATGACCTGAGCCGAAGGCAGACGCTTAATGACTAAGCCACCCAGGTGCCCCTGAATATTTCTTTTTTAATAGCATCCTGTACTCATTGCATGGATGAGCTATTAATTACAGGTTATTTCTGTTTTTACATTTTCTTCTACTCCTTACATTGTCTGCCTCTGTTTTGTCTGAGTTCATTTTTTTGGTTCATTGTGACCTCCATCTAGAGGCTTTCCCCAAATCTCTGGTGATCCTTGACTCTAAAATCATAATTAAGGCAGAGATGATAAATATGTATAGATTCCTTTTTTCTGGAAATAAAAATGTCTTTAAATATATATATTTAAATATTCTGTAGTAGAGATTGCTAGCTGTGACCCCATACTCATTCTCTCCTCCTTCCTTTATTAAAGGAAACCCGGAGTTTTAGCTGGGTACATCACTGCCCAGCTAAAGCCAGCTAAAGACTACATTTCCCACTCTCCCTTGCAAATAGGTATGGTCATGTGATTATGTTCCACTCAATAGGGTGTGAGCAGAAGTAGTATAGGCAACTTTCTCGGGCAGTTGCATGAAAAAGGGGAGTGGTCTGTTTCCTCTTCTCTCCTGCTTGCTGGCTGGAATATGGATGTGTAACTAGTAGATCAGGAGCAGCTATCTTAGGCCATGAGATGAAAACTATGTGTTGAGGGGTGCCTGGGTGGCTCAGTTGGTTAAGCGACTGCCTTCGGCTCAGGTCATGATCCTGGAGTCCCTGGATCGAGTCCCGCGTCGGGCTCCCTGCTCGGCGGGGAGTCTGCTTCTCCCTCTGACCCTCCCCCCTCTCATGTGCTCGCTCTCATTCTTGCTCTCTCAAATAAATAAATAAAATCTTTAAAAAAAAAAACTATGTGTTGAGGGGCGCCTGGTGGCTCAGTGGGTTAAGCGCCTGCCTTCGGCTTGGGTCATGTTCCCAGGGTCCTGGGATCGAGCCCCGCATCGGGCTCCCTGCTCAGCGAGGAGCCTACTTCTCCCTCTCCCTCAGCCTCTCTCCCTGCTCATGCTCTCTCTCTCTCTCTCTCTGTATCTCTGTGTCTCAAATGAATAAATAAAACATTAAAAAAACAAACAAACAAAAAACTATGTGTTGAGAATGACAGGACAATGGTAGCAAAGGGACCTAGGATCCCAGCACTGTGGGACCACAATATTAGCTCTGGACTGCTTCTAGATCATTACATGACTGAGAGATAAGCATCGATTTTGTTTAAAGCCCTGTTATTTTGGCCTTTGTTACAGGAATCAAACCAGGACCTTTTACACTTAAATAGAAAAATTTGTGTAAACATATCAAGATATGGTTAACAATAGTTGCCTTGGGGGATGTAGGGACTACTGGGAAACTTTTATCTTCTGCTTTACACATTTCTAAATGATATGTGTTTAAAAAACAAGTATGTATTACTATTAATATCAAGAAAACGTAAGAAAGAACAAACGCCATTTAGTTTTAAACAACTGACTGTAAGCTATGTGTGCATGTGTGCGGCTTTTTTATTTTTTTAAGTAGGCTTCGCATTCGCACCCAGCGTGGAGCCCAACACGTGGCTTGAACTCATGACCCTGAGATCAAGACCTGAGCTGAGATCAAGAGTTGGACACTTAACCGACTGAGCCAGCCAGGGGTCCCGTAGAATCCTGATTTTTAGTTGGGCATGTGACTTTCTTATATTTTGGTGTGGCCATGTAAGTTCTGTTCAATGGGATGGATATAAAAAGAAGTTAATGTAAGCTGCTACAGAGAAGACATGTTTTAGACAATACTCATGTGTATGGGCAAAAAACTCGAGGACTGTATTTGTGACTAATTGTATAACAGGTTATTTTAGTTTCTGTTCTGTGGGAAGTGTAAAGCATTCCAACAAAGGGTTTTAATGTAGATTTTTTTTTTTTTGCACCCATGCTGTTGATTCCTAAATGTAATAGTCTGATCATGACGCTGAATAAATGTGTCTTTAAAAAAAAGAAGTTAATGTAGCAGCCTCTGAGAACCTTCCCTGTAAGAGAGACACAGTGCATATGCCTTTTTCCTTATTCTCACCTTCCTCTATCTTGCTGCTTAGAATGTAGATGCCAATATCTTACACCATGAAGTTGAGGTTTTGAATGGCAGAGCACCAAGATAAATACCTTGACTTCTTTTTTTTTTTAAGTGAGCTCTACGCCCAATGTGGGGCTTGACCTCACTACCCTGAGATCAGGAGTCACATGCTCTACACACTGAACCAGCCAGGTGCCCCAATAATACCTTAACTTTTACATGAGAGAGAAATAAACTTTCATCCTGTTTCAGGTCCCTTTTTGGGAGGTTTTTCTGTTATAGCTAAATCTAATCCTAACCGATACACATCTTCAGAGAGAACTATATTGAGTTCTAAACAAGATAAATAAAACAAAATCCACAACTCAACATAGTAGAACAAAACTGTAAAGTAACCAAGGAGAAGAGAAAGATTATCTATGAAGGAACAGTAATTAAGCTAACAGCGCCAGCAACCAAAGAAGCCGGAAGATTTTTTTAAAAGTCTTCAAAATTCTGCGTTTTCAAACAACTGATTCCCACAAATACTGAGCAATTCTCTTACAATCTTTATCGAACATGAAAAGTTCTGAGAATAACTTAGACCAGGGGTCAGTTATCTACAGTCAATGGGCCAAATCTGTCCCACTGTTTTTGTAAATGAAGTTTTATTGGAGACCTGCCATATCCATTTATTTATGTGTTGATTATGGCTACTTTCCTGCTACAGAGGCAAAGGTGAATAGCGACAAGGAGATAAAACCCGATGGCCTGCAAAACTCAAATTATTTGCTCTCTGGCCCTTTACAAAAAGGAGTTTGCCAACGCCTGACTCAGACAAAGGAGACATATTAGTGAGTGTGAATTCCCAGTTTTTTCCTTCTGGTCTTCATACGGGGATGCTCGGGGAGGTGGCGACTATGGTCAACAGGCCCGAGGAGCTTCAAAATAAAGCTCCCAGGTTTTAATTCCACCTCTGCTGAAGCATCTGTGTTAGCACCTGGAAACAGCTTGGGTCATGGGGGTCCTGAGTCTGCGCTCAGGTTCAGGGTCTTGAAATTCTTGGTGTGTCCAACTTCTGCAACCTCCCCTTGCCTGTGCCTTAACTTTTCACTTTTGTCCAGGTAAGGGGCTTTCTGCTGGAAGGCCTAGCTATGGCCCACCACACATGGACCAATGGTAAGTGCCAAAGCAGAACAAAGGAAGCCGAAAAAAAAGTGCCTGAGAACCAGGGGAAAGGGACAAGCTAATAAGAAGCAAGATAATTTACATCAAAGAACTTCAGAAAGTGGACCAGAGGCAGCAGAGGAGGGGAGGGAGAGGGCTGAAAATACAAATATTGGTTGAAAGTGTGTACAAGGAGCAGTTAGACATCTGACTCTTGATTTGGGCCCAGGTCATGATCTCAGGGTCATGAGATCGAGCCCTGGGTTGGGCTCCATGCCACTGGGTGTGGAGTCTGCTTAAGATTCTCTCTCTCCCGGGACACCTGGGTGGTTCAGTCGGTAAAGCGTCTGCCTTCGGCTCAGGTCATGATTCCAGAACCCTGGGATCAAGTCCAGCGTCAGGGCTCCTTGCTCAGCGGGGAACCTGCTTCTCCCTCTGCCACTCCCCCTGCTCCTGCTCTCTCTCTGACAAATAAACAAATAATTTAAAAAAAAAAAAGATTTTCTCTCTCTCCCTCTCCCCTTCCCCCACCCACTCACGCTCTCTTGTGCTCTCTCTCTTAAATAGATAAATACATTT